AAATGTCACCAGGTCAGAGACAGCAACGTTCTCAATTAGGATGACACAGGGAGTTACTATTGCATTTAGCTCCCAGCATTAAGTCAGAAGAATCTACACTGGGTCAGAATCACCCTGCCCCTGGCCAGCTAGGCCACCAGCTTCCTTCTCCTCGCTCTGGGGGTCGACATCTACTTCAAGGGGGCCCCCAATCCTCTCATACAGGCCTTTGCTGAATTAAAGTTTGTAAGTAAATGGTTTTAAAGAAAAAAAAAAAAAAGAATAAGAACAATAATTGATTTAAGGCTTTAAATCATTTATCCATGGCTATCACTTTAAAAACTATCTTTTGGCCAGGTTGTGGTGGCTCGGTGGTTGAGCACCAATCTATGATACAGAAGGTCAAGGTTTGACTCCCAGTCAAGGGACATGCCCGGGTTTCGGGCTCGAGCCCCAGTAGGGGGTGTGCAGGAGGCAGCCGATCAATGACTCTCTCTTATCATTGGTGCTTCTATCTCTCTCTCTCCCTCTCACTTCCTCTCTCTGAAATCAACAAAGACATATTTCAAAATAAATAAATAAAATAAAAAATAAATAAAAACTATTTTTTGTTTAAAATTAATATACATAAATTTTATGTTACATGTATCTTGTATTTTACCACAATTAAAAATACTGGCGGGGAAAATTATATATATATTGGGAAAAAATCTAAAACACATAATGCTGAAGTGAAAATTTTCCTTAGACTCACTACTTCCCAGAAATAATCCCACCTCAATAGTTTGGTACATATTTTTTCAGATTTCTGTGTCTTTGTACATAATAATACATAGGATTATTAATATTCACAAAACTGGATCACATTTTACATAGTATTTTGCGTTTGTTACTTTAAAATATATTTTCACCTGGCCAGTGTTGTTCAGTGGTTGAGTGTCAACCTATGAACCAGGGGGTCACGGTTTGATTTCAGGTCAGGGCACATGCCCAGGTTTCAGGCTCTATCCCCAGTAGAGGAGGCAGCTGATCAATAATTCTCTCATATCATTGATGTTTCTATCTCTCTCTCCCTCTCTCTGAAATCAATAAAAACATATTTTACATATATATTACATCTCTCCATATCTGCACAAATAGATCTACCTAATTTTTTTTCTATGAGCCTTCACAGAATTTTTAAGTCAGCTTTCATATAATTCCATTATATGTGAAATTATGTAGTTATGTAAGCATACTATAACTTATCTAACCACTGTATTATTACAAATATTACTACAACACACACACACATATATATATATTTGTGCACATATATAGATGTTTAAAATAAATTCCTAGAAGTGAAATTTCTGGGTCAAAGTGCATGAATATTTAAAGTTTAAAAGATATTTCCAAACTGTTGCACTATCACTTTCAAGACCACAATGCCAACTTACTTTTGGCTCTGAAATGAAATATTTTCTACTGTATTTATATTATACTATTTTAGTGTCCCTGAGATTTACTTAGTTGAATCAAGATTACCATATTTAATTGAATCTATGATGATATTTTATATAAAACATATCCTGATTTCAGATATATTAAAATATAAAAAGCATCCTTTTTGTATTAGGTGAAATATGGTTCTTAGCTGTCTTGGAAAACAAATGATTAACTGCTTATACTCAGAAAAAGCACTTTCTCAACAAGAGAACAGCAGCAAATCAAATGCTCACACTACACAATTAATTACTGTAAACCTTTCCAAAATTATATTTTTGCATAAGATATAAACATATGATGACAAACTTGCTAAAACTAGGGAATTATTCACATTAAACAAGCTTTAGAAGGCCCATTTGAATAATTAATAATTACAGGCATGTTCTTTGCCACAAAGATTCACAGCATCAGGCCACAGAACAAATCAAAGCACCCAACTATTTTCTAACATGATAAACCCTGGCCAATATACCCATGGGCAAAGAAGATGTTCACAGTCACTGTACTAGCCAAGCCTCTTGCTTATAAGAACAGGCTGCTCTCTCTTAACTGGACTTGACTCATTCACCAGCACACAATTCTTCTTGATCTTTGATAAAGAAATCACTTCTGAAGTTCAGTCCCTAGACACAGCTGCCTTTGGACATCTCTGCCAGCAGCACATGAGGGCTGGGTATCACTTTCCAGCACTAATGTTTGAGCTGAAGAAGGTGATACTAATACTCCTTTAAAGTCTTGTTTTGCTTTTGTTTTGTTTGAGGTGGCTAACTGCTAAAAAGATTAACATGAAAGGACTTGTCAGAATGACAATCAGGCCCTGGCCGGGTAGCTTAGTTGGTTAGAGCGTCTTCTGGATACACCAAGGTTGTGGGTTCAATCTCCGGTCAGGACACAGAAGAAGCAACCAATGAATATATAAATAAGCGGAACAACAAAATCAATGCCTTTCCCCCCCTTCTCTAAAAAATCAGTAAAAATTTTAAAAAGAAAAAAAAGAATGACAATCAGATCACTTGCCATATCAGGCATTAGTGGATGTTCTACACTTGTGTCTGTAACGTGTGTAGAAATATGCATCATGCCTTGATTTGCAGGAAAAAGAGGTACTGAGTAAGTATAGTACTTGAAATGTCAGACCCTCTTGGCTAAGCACAGAAAGAAGAATCAGGTCAGATGACCTAAACTCTGAATAAATAAAAGCTCTTTATACCGAGTCTGAAACATGAAACACTAAGTCTATTTAGATTGAATTATGATTGGTTGAAATGTCATAGGTGTTAATAAGCCACCATCAAATAGAATTTTCCAGTGCCTCTTTCATCACTCAAGGCGTGTGTCTCTCTCCCGCTCTCCTCTAAGCTCCAGGAGCCCTTCTTTTGCTCTAACTTGTTTCCTGAGCCCATTTTTCCGATGGCTCACTTCTTCTACCTACCTCTGTGACGTTCTAAATAAACTTTCACTTATAATTTGAAAGAGAGAAATTTTCCAGTTGAACTTACATCCATATTAAATCCTTTTTGTGTACCCATCACTTTACTCTGAATGCTTGTGATTTTCACTAAACATACCCTATGTTCTTAAGCTTTTTTTGCAAGTGACTTGTAAATCTAAGCCTTCCTATGAATGGAATGGCAAAGAGGTAAAGTTCAACTCACATCAAATTCTATTACTTAGTTTGCTCTACTTCTGCTACTACTGTTGGTTTCTTATTCACGGAAGCCATGATTCTCAGAACATACTGAGTTTTCCTTTGCTACTTAGTTGAACAATTTCCAATATACTGAAAAAAATGTGATTTTCACCAAAATCCATACTTGCAAACTTCCTCTTTCCCGTCCCCCTCATGACAGCATTGCAGTCCTCTCATAGCTTTCAATATCTTCAGGGGGGGTTATTATTATTATATTTCAGAGAGAGGAAATGATCCTTTTTTCTCTACCTCCTCTTGGCCTACATTTCATACCTACCCTAAAAAAACAGTCCCAGTGAGACAAATATTCAAAACCTGACTATTAAATCTTCTTCAGTACCCCTGTACCTAAGACACTGAAGCCTGCTAACCAGTATATGATTTGCAAATTATACTTTTTGATATATGCAGTAAATCTGGGGGAAGGAAAAAAAAAGGGTATAAAGGAACAGGGGCTAGAGATCACAGTTAGGTTTTACTAGGTGAAGGTCAAAATTTTACAAGTCTGAATAAGCTCACTAAGGCCTTTTACTACATATGATCAGCTTGGACATACGACGTAGAGAATCATTTTTTGGTTCTTTGCTAATCCTTTTATTATATGCTGTAAAAACAAACAGGAACTGGGACACAGTAGTAGTAGAGCATGCAGTGTGCAGCTGGGACGAGCTGCTAGAACAAGTACAAATCTGATTTGTACTGCTCTGCTGAAAATCCTTCAATGCTGTTCAAGGTTCCTCCAGACTGGGTCCCTAGTAACCTTGCTAGCGTCATCTCCCACCTCCTCTGGGCCCTTGCATTCTAAGTTCCAGCCATAATGAGTTGTTTTCAGGTCTACTATCTGATGCTATGTCCCTTTTACCTGGCCAACTCTTGTCTTTCTGCCACGACTCCGTTTAGATGTCCTGTTCTCTGAGAAAGCCTCCCCTGAGTGTTCAAGACCAGGTTAGGTACAAAGGAAAATTCTGGTGTGGCATACAGCCTCTATATTATTGGACACTTCTCCATTCCTCCTTCCAGTGTGTGAAAACATGTATCTAATAAAATCAGCTCACAACATGGGTGACACAGCTCTGCATCCAAGTCCTTTACCTCATTTTCTATGAAGCAGTTTCAGAGAGGATGCAACATACACCCCGTTTTTCAATTCAAAAAAAGGTTAAGGTAACTTGGCTAGCACAAGTGAGTCAAATATGTAGAGAAAATAAACTTGCATTACAGTTTATCTCCTGGAACAATATATGTGCTGCAGAGATTATATGGGCAGCAGAAGGGCATGGGACAGGCTTGCTGCACCCACATCTTCCTGAGGGTCCTGGACATGGCATGCTCCCACTGCCAGCACAGCATGTTGCCTTCTCCCTTCCCATGGGTACTTTTTGGGTCAGAAGAAATAAAACTTAAGAGTTTGCTAATTTGAAATTGCATTGTGAGTTTTTGTTCCCGTTTCATCATTTACAGACTAATTAATAGCTCTGGCAAACACAGAAGGGCCTGCCTCTTCCAACCATAGTTCACTAAGCTCTCCCTACATACCACCTATGTGACCCTAGGCCTTTGCTTTCTTATTTACTTATTCACATTGCCTTTGTATTTGTCTGGCTCTCTCTCTGCCCTTGAGCACAGAAACGTCTTATTTGCTGCTGTATCCCCAGTAAATATTGAGTATCTACATTACCTATCACATAATAGGCACTCAATAAATGACTGATAAAAAAATCAATATAGACCTGTTGGTACTTCAAGGAAACAAGACAGAAAAAAAATTTGAAGCTCTCAGGACACACAGTTCACACTAAGTCAGCAAAAACGATGCCACAGATAACTTCCAGTTCCTTCTCACCTGATCGGTATCGTTCATCCCTGGCTCCCCCAGATCGAGTTCGGTGGTACTTGGATGGAGCAGAAGTTTGAGCTGCAGATGGAGCAGGTGTCTGATTTCTATGTTCTTTCTGTGCTGCTGAATCAGTTTCTAAAAAAGGAAGATGGTTATCCAATAACAATAATAGCTAACATTTTCTGAGCACTTCACATCATTCCCACAACACTCTGAGATGGGTATTATTACCCCATCTATAGCAAAGGGTTAGAGAGCTTTGACATATATACAGAAAAATGATACAAAGATATCCAGGTGAAAAAATAATCAGCTTAGAGCCATAACTGTGAACAGGTGATAGGAGAGAAATAGCAAAACAATCTATGTAAAGAGAATAAGCCATTCCAGAGACTCCAAGAACTGGTAGGCAGGGGGCTGGGGCAGGTACATGACCCCTAATCCTGCGAGTGGTACAAAGAATGGCTTGCAGAGCTTTAGTCTCCCCAACATAAGTTACTCCAAATAAATTTATCATTTAAGCAAAAGTAGGGTGTTTTACTATGCAAACATAGCTTCGAGTTATATCTAGTAGGCCCTCTTCCAACTGGAGTCACCCCTGAACCTTTCCCTTTCCAGGGTATGGTCTGTCCCACAGTCTGTTCTCCCAACATTTACTTTCTCATCAAGAATTCAGGAAGGGCCCAGCCGAGTGTGGCTCAGCGGTTGAGCATTGACCTAGGATCCTGGAGATCCCAGTTCGATTCCTGGTCAGGGTACATGCCCCGGTTGCAGACTCGATCGCCAGTCAGGGGTGTGCAGGAGGCAGCCGATCAATGACTCTCTCATCATTAATGTTTCTTTTATATGTATCTTTATTGATTTCAGAGAGAGGAAAGGAGAGGGAGAGAGAGAGAAACATCAATGATGAGAGAGTCATTGATCGGCTGCAGCCCATAACCGGCATGTGCCCTGACCAGGAATCAAACCCTGATCGCCTGGATCCTAGGTCAACACTTAACAGCTGAGCCACCCCTGGCCGGGCTCATCATTGATGTTTCAATCTCTCTCTCTCCCCCTCTCCCTTCCTCTCTCTGAAATCAGTAAAAATATATATATATTTTTTTTAAAAAAAAAGAATATGGGAGAGAAAAAAGTAGGTAAAATAAGCAGAAGAAAAACACCTTAAGTTCTGATATTTTACAGTCCTTTTTTTCCCCAACGGTAGTCATAGTTTTTAAAAATATAGTAAGAACATTTAACATGATACCTACCCTTTTAATAAATTTTTAAATGCACAATAGTTAACTATATGCACAATGTTGCACAGCAGATTTTTAGAACTTATTCACCTTACATAGCTAAAACTTTTGACCCATTAGAGTAGCAACTCCCCACTTCCCCCTCCCCCAGCCCCTGGCAATCACCATTCTATTCTCTGCTTCTATCAGTATGAATATTTTAGATTCCTCCTGTAAGTGGAATCCTATAGTATTTGTCCTTCTGTGACTGGCTTATTCCACTCAGCATCATATCCTCCAGGCTCAATCATTTTGTCACACACTGCAAGATTTCCTTCTTTTTTAAGGCACATTTTAAGTTTCTTTAATAGCACTTAGTTGTGCCCAGAAAGGCAGCTTACACATAGCAAATTAGGTGTCCACTACAGTAAGATGTCATCCATCCAGCAATGGCATTGCTCCAGACCACAGCTGAGAATCAGCTTGCACAGTGGTCCAGGGACTGCAAGCAACAGCCTCACAGGCCTCAGTCAAGGCTGAGGGTATTATGGTACTACAGGAACTGGGACTCATAATGTCATTTCATTTTTTAAAAAATGATTAGCATGCTCAAGAGGCTGTATGTAAGAACTCTAGTTGATGTTCCCAGCTGAGCCCGCCAAGGCACTAGACGTGTGGGAAGCCATCTTGGACCTTCCAGACCAACCTGTACATACCAGGTGAAAGCATTTAGTGACCCAACTGGTACCAGTGGAGCACAAAAATCACCAACTGAATCCTTACTAAATTTCTGACCCACAAAATCAGAAGATATAATGTAAAGGTTGTTTTTGGGTGTGTTTTTAAAGTTTGATTATTTTTTATACATGGTTTTTAAGAAGGCAAAAGAGTGTTTTTTAAAATGTTCTGCACAAAAGCGCTTTTATGGATCCAGAAATGTTTATTTTTGATGGTTCCTGGTAGCTGAGATTTTTATTATAAAATATATTAACCAAGCAGAACATGTTTTAACACTGAGATTTTGAAAGGTAACGTCTGAGTTTGCAAACTGAAGTTTTTAATCAACCTAAATTCTCTTGATAATCTATTTCACAGAAGAGCTATATTGAGTTCTTAATATTTTCATACCTTGTTTCATTTGTTAGTTTTATTATTCTAGAATAGGAGTCAACACACTATAGTCCATGTCTGTTTTTATAAATAGTTTTATCAGAACACAGACATACTCATCTGTTTACACACTGCCCTGGGTGCTTTGACACTAAAGGTAGAGCTGATTAGTTGTGACAGAGATTGTATGGTACTCAACACCTAAAATATTTACTATCTGGCTCATTACAGAAAAAGCTTGCCACCCCAGCCTATAACAATAAAAGCTAACATCTAAATGTTTGCTTTGTGCTAGGCGCTGTGCATATAGAAGCATATATAAAAAGTTTCACATTTTTTCTTATTTCTCACAGCAACCCTACAAAGTCAGCACCATCACTATCAATTTACTACAGAAAAAGAAACAGACATGTATTATTTTATCCAAAATTACAGAACCAGAGAAAGACAGCCAAGATTCGAACCCAGGTCTGTCTAAACCAACTGGTTCTCCACCAGAAAAGGTTATAAAAAACATTGTGAAAATTCTCCCAAGACTCTTCAGAGGAAAGCAATTAAAGTTAATAATTTAGTCTGCGAGTATCTAAATGCTTCAGGATTTAGAGTCAGCAGCTAGACAATCACTTGCTTTTTTAAATTGCCTGCCTTCATGTGAAAGATTCTGCAAAAAACCCCTCCAAATAGCTTTCAGTCATTCATTAGAGAAATTATTTAAAACATATTCCAGTTGGGGTTGGGGAAGGTAGAAGAGGGTATGGAGGCATAAATGATAATGGAAGGAGACTGGACTTGGGGTGAACACACAATACAATATACAGATGATGTATTATAGAATTGTATATCTGAAACTTATATAATTTTATTAACCAATGTCATGCCAATAAACTCAATTAAAAAGTTAAAAAATATATTCCAAATAACTTTAAATAGAGAACAAAAAATAGAAAGGTGCTAATTTTATTAGCATGGTCAGATGATGCCGGAAGGAAATCACATTAGCACACATGAGGTACTTTGCTTGAAAATATGCACAGAGGAAATGATCTGACTTAGAGAATCAGGTTTAAAATACTAGCTTTGTATTACTATTTGAGGGGCCAGATGAATATACAACTAAAGTACCTATCACTGATTATTTTTTAAATTAAATAAGCAGATTTGCTAGGATAGATCAAACCACCCTGCTAAGAAACATGGTACATCCAAAATTAGGCATTAGTAATCCAAAGTATGAAAGGAATGAATATAGATGCGCATTTCACAGGGGATGGGCATAAACGGTTTATGTATTTTTTACCACTGTCCGCTCATTTGGGCTTTTACTTTGTATTTTTCAATGTAATTAATTAGGAAAAAGAAGATAATGTCCGCTAAAGAATAAAAATTGAAACAAAGAAATGATAGGGATGTGACAGGGGAACAAGGAGTTGGTACATTTGTTTGAGGAAGAATTAGAGAGAATCATCTCCATTCAGATTATCTAGAGGTTATCACAGACCAAATCACAAGGAAATATAACACAAATACAGACATCTGATGAGAATTGAGAATCAGAGTCAGATGACACTTAGCTAAGAGATCTAGTGAACTGGTACCAAAAAAAAAAAAAAGCCTCATAATACAACATGCTCTTCACCAAGCAACATTAGAATGATGCTCTGCAATGTTTATCTCAGCTTCCTCAGGGGTTTAGTCATCCAAGCAGACCAGGTCCCTTTTGGGTCTAAAATCATGACAAACATTTCCTTGTAGCTTGCGAGAAATGAAACAAAAAGGTTTATTTGCAGTTTCAATACGTGGCTGACAAGTCTGTTCAATGACCATTCCTCAGGTGCCCAAATCATGTCACAAAAACATGGATTCCTGACACAATAATCTTGATCCAAAGGTGTGATATACCTACTTTAAGAGAGCCTATATCTAAAAGAGGCGTAAAGGAAAAAACATAAAATGAATTCCTAGGAATTGAATCACTTTTAAAAATAACAGAAGAGATTAATAATGAAATCCTGGAGTTAATATTTTTGAATGTGAATTACCACTCTCCAGTTTATATATGAATTCTATAAATCTTTATTCCCACATATTAGAGTTTACTTTTTAGAATATATGATTTACAAACATATTTTATTATGCACTGAAAAAAATGGAAGCAAATACAGGAAAATGTTAATAGCAATTACTTTGGACAACATATATTTTTCCATTGGCTTTACTGGATTTCTACAATTTAGAAAAGTTCTCCTTTTGGATTATAAAAATAACATGTTCATTTTAGAACATCAAAGTAATAGTTAAGAGTAAAGAAGAAAAGAAAAATATTAGATTTTTTTAATTGGAAGGTCACATCACATAGAGCAGATTCTTACCATAATAAATTAAGATAATATTCAGTTTTCAGCTTCCTAAATAAATTATGACACTATAAGCAGGATATCTTTTTCCTATCTTCTAAAATCAATTGTCTCCTTTTTCTTTCCCCAAAAGCAACTGGCAAATCAATGCATACTTGGAGGTAAGCGGGGAAAAAATATGTCCTGGCTGGATTAAAATAATTTTGGAAGGCTTATTCCCACCTTAGCTTACTTGCCAGTGCACCAGTTTACCGTGGAAGGGGGCATAAAACAATGCAGTTTGGGTCTCATCAAAGAGAGGAGGCAGGGGTCTGGGGACACAGGAGCACAGCAGGGTGTTATTTAACAGCATGTCCAGCGTCAGCTGGGCAGGCAAGATGCTGCTTAGAGATGAATCATTCCCTGGCTAGGGAGGGTTTCATACATCAACCAGATCTCAGGAATTACCTGG